CAGAGCCAGTGGTACTAAGCCAGTTTTAACCTTCTCTTGATCATAACTTTCCTTCCCAATAAGGGCAAAAAAATGGGTCCAGTAGGAAACAAGCCTTTTTAAGGCTATCAGCTACCTTAGGTAGAAAGGAAGCATGTACTCTATTTAAATACAACCAGCAAATGCATCTTCAAAGATCTTTAAAATGCTGATGACATCGTCTTTCATTTTCAGGCCAGTATTATGTAGACATCAGCTACAGCCAGATAGTTAAGAACGTGTCAAAATCCTTGTCAGAAATTCCCACCTTAAGATCTACTTGGCCCAAGTATACATTCATTGAAATGTTAATATAATACTTCATACTGAAGTAACAATTTATTGTAAATGAAACATTTACCAATTCTAATTTCTAATATAGCAGATAGCATTTCTTATATAAAACAAAATGAAGACCTTGAGTATTCAAATTTTCTTGTTCATTTTCCCTTTCTAGGAATTTTGAAGTAAAACCAATGTGGAATAAGCAGCCCTAACTTTTTCGAGAATAGTAATATAGTTACAGAAATGTGAAGATAGTATAGAAAATTGCTATATACACTGAACCCAATGAACCCTACTATTGATAACTTACATTTGTATAATACATTTAATATAATTAATAAACTGATATTAATGCTTTATTATTATTTTAAACTTTAAACTTCTGGGGTGCATGTGCAGGATGTATATGTTTGTTAACATAGGTAAACAAGTGCCATGGTGGTTTGGTGCACTTATCAAGCCATCACCTGGCATTAAGCCAGCACGCATTAGCTATTTCTCCTGATGCTCTCTGCCAACACCCCCAAGCCTCCCCTGACAGGCACCAGTGTGTGTTGTTCCTCTCCCTGTGTTCTCATTGTTCAGCTCCCACTTACAAGTGAGAACATGCAGTTTGGTTTTCTGTTCCTGTGTTAGTTTGCTGAGGATAACGGCCTCCAGCTCCATCTATGTCCCTGCAAAACACATGATCTTGTTCCTTTTATAGCATCCACAATCTTCCACAAGCAGATTCTCAAATCCTTACTCATCTGCTTTTTAGCACTGAGGTGGGTTGCAGTCAGAACAAAGTAAACACTTTATTTGATACATAAACCCTTTTATTTAGTTTTCACAGGTAACCTATCAGGATATCCCTATATAATAGATGAGGAAATGAAAGCAGAGAGCAACTTGTCCAAGAGAACAAGCAAAAAAAAAAAAAAAAAAGGTTGAGATTGAAACAAAAATCATTCAAATATCACACTAGTCACACTCTCAACTAGAGGATTAGCCTGGCCACCTAGGAGGTTAGGATAGTCTGCAAAAAGAAGACAAATGTGAGGAACATGCATAACTATCTAGGCTGGGAAGGATTCCTGGGCAAGAGAAAGAACAAAAATATGCATTCCTGTTCTCCTCTTTTGCTGATCTCTCTTCATACCCAAAAGCAATTTCATAGCTCTAACTGACTTGCTAAAATATCATCATTATCATCTCAAATGAGCACACGTGGACTTGGCATAATTAATTTGGACAACAGGAAAAATAAAAAGCAAACTAAATGTCACCTTAACATTCTTCATGGATTAGGTTTGTTAAAATATTTTTATAATAAAACATAATATCTTAGGCTCACCAAATACAAATTGCTATAACTTACTCAGAGTTGATATTGAAAAAAAAATTTTGTGGCCAACACTGAAAGAAGATGATAGTGGGTGGTTCAGCCCCAGACGTGAATAGGTTGTTTTACTCTGTACAATTTCACAAAATTTGCATTCATGGAATTCTAGTTGAATCAAAATCAGTTAGAAAGATTCAGACAATAATAATAAATAGCTGTTACAATTTAAAAGAGACTTAAAGTTCCAGAGTTTTACTTTTACTCATTGTAAAGGCAAGATATGATGATTATTCAAAAGTTAAGCAATTCAAAAAGTAAAAAGAGGTAAAAATCAACTGAAAATCTCCCTAAGGAAAAACATTGTTAACATATCGATAAACACATTTTGATTGTGTCTTCATCAATTTATTTCACATATAGATGTATATATATGTACGTATATATATACACAGACACATACACTAACATACAAACACCCTGTAAGATCATCAAATGTATGCTGTCCATAATCAGTATCTTTTATTTATACATATGTTTTAGTTATTTTTCCATAATGTTAAACATAATTCTAAGTCATTTTTACAGTTGCATTGCATGGATATACTGTAATTTATTTTTGCAAACTCCTCCTCTTTCTAGGAATTTAGACTGTTTCTAAATTTTTCTATTAGAAACAATGTTGAATTGAACATTCTTGAATGATCATAAGTTGTTGGTTTGTCAGAAGATTTCCAATGAATATGTTACTTGGGCTTTATGCAAATAATTAACATAATTCAACATTCTCCACTCTCTCTATTGAGTTAACTCAACCAGTGGTCCTGGGTGCTGTGAGTCTTGTGGCATTCCAGTTTAAATTGGAAGTGGAGGTTCTAAGGGCCCGAACTCTAAGGAACTCATGAGGTCTTGTACAGAGTGCAAAGAAGGAAGATGATTCTAGACCTAAGGACTGCTTCCCTGCAAAGTAAAGGCAAAGCAGAAAGCTTCAGTAGGTTAGCAGTATAGTTCTATAAACTTTTTCTAATTAATACTTTTAAATTGGCAGCTAGTAAGCCTGACTCCCAAGAATTTCTGTAGCTTTTACCTATCTCTCATGGCATCTGCCACCCACCGGCTCTCATCACGCTCTTCCTACTCCACTTGGCTTCTCCTTGTAGTATTCAAGCAATCCCTTATCACACTGAGGTCCCTGGAAGTGCCTAGGAAAATGTCAGTGAGGACTTGGCTGTTCTCCCAAATCACCTGCCTCGCACAAGTTAAACTTAAAGGTATTAGACATATTGTTCAGTTTATCTCACAGTCCATGAGTTAGCCAATTCCATTAAACTCTGATTTGTAAAGTATCAATCACTGTGCATTTAATTGTTTTTGTATTCAGCTGAAGGGAAGTTGTATATACTGGAAATAGCTTGGGCCGAAATACACCTGAACATGAATCCAGTTCTGCCACTTGATAACTCTGTGACTTTGGGAAAGATATGAACCTTTTGGGAAAATCAGTTTGTTCCTCTGAAAAACCAACATTAGATTTGTCCTGTTCAGTAGAGATTGCTGGGTACAAGCAGAGAGTCTGTCAATGAATGACCATTTGGTGGCAGGTTCTCATTTAGGATCACAATAACTGTGGTATCTGGTATTATCGTTAGCCAGAAATAGGGCTCAGAGCAGTTAAGCAACTAGCCCAAGAGACAATAGTTGCTTATACTGAGAGAGACTAAGCAGAGTCAGAATTCAAGTCCAGACCTGTGACCATAAAGGCTGCATTCTTTCCTCTGACCCTGTGAACAAGTATAAAAAAATCTGCGTTGTCATCACTAAAGAGAATAGTTTTTACAGTAGGCATTTTTGAACTACAAAAGACTCCTCACTAGTTAAACTGGGCATGACTCTGAAGAGGGAATATGACTGTACTCCTTATTCTCTGAATTGTAGTACTCTAACATAGCTCATTTTTCATGCCATCTTCCCTAGCTGTCCAGATTTCATTTAGAAGTGAGTTTTCACATTTTGCATTTTATTATGGGTTACAACTGAATTTACTTGTATCACACTAATCTGTCATCTTTGAGTTTCACAGACAGAGCAGAGGGCCTTTGGCTGTTAAAGGCATTTTCAAATATCCGTTTTTCCCTCTACCTGTCATACTGATTCACAGATTCTGGCAGCTCACTGAGGCCCATTTATTTTCAGTATCTTCATGCTCTCTCCTAAGGAACTTGCCACATTAACGTCCTCTCAGCTTGAACTCAATCTTTACATGTGTGCAGGAACAAGACACTTGAGAACTTCACTATCCCTGATGGTGAAGCAGTAAATAATTAAGAACTAAAGAGGGGACAGCCATACTTCAACTGAAAAGCAGAACCAGCATGCCATGCTATTTCCCCAAGGTTTCATTACCTCCAAATAATGTGGCTGTTTTGTATCATCTTGAGGATTCTGCTGCTTGAGAGCACTAGGTGATGACACCCTTATATTGCTTTTAAGTAATTAGCTCTATTATCACTCTTGTTTTTGTTACAAGTCACCTTGTTGAAATTTCTTGTAAAACAATAAATAGCATCCTGTCTGAGGTATGGCATTTGGAAGACCCTAGCCTCCTTTGGAGCCACTGAAAGCCATGTGGGCTGCAAGAGAGGGATGGCACACTAAAAAAATTAAGTCTCAAGGTCTTCCCAGTTACTAGAGAGTAAAGTTTGAGGTCAAAGGAGCTGACGCCATCATGCATGTTCGAGAAGAAAAACAAATGATTTTCAAAATCTCTTGAAAAAAATCTTGTTACATTATGTTTTTTCCTCTTTAAACTATAGGGAGGGAAAATTCCACAAAGTTAAAAAGAAGAAATGAATACAGCCAGTACTGAAGAAATAACAGTCTGCAGTCTCAGCAGAGACTAGGGTCCACCACTCAAGTTAAAAACTCTAGAAATGTTTGTAGACTAGAACTAAGAAAGAAGAACATAAAGGTCCATATGACCCTATTTTTGGCCATCTTTACTTAAATAAAATTGGAAGTTAATTTTTTTCTACTTTTTTGATTGAAGAAGAAAAACCACAAATTGTATTCAAATATACTCTAAGAAATGAAATAATAAAACTATAACTAAGTACATTTTCCCTCTTCTAGTCCACATGTGAACAAAATTAATTTGGAATTGAGTTAGTTAAAATTCAGCCAGTAACAGAGCATGAGACTGGATGATAGGTGTGAGCCCTGGATGTTAAACCCAGCTCTAGCAAGGATTTCCTGTGTGTGTGACTTGGGTGGGGGCTGAGGTTCATTTAAGTGCTCCATGTGCCTGTTAATTTTGAAATAATAATTTACTCTTATAAGTCTATGGGCTTTTTCTTACTCCCTTCTCTCTTTCTTTAAGGTCCAGTTGAAAAGTGAAGAATCTAAAACGTTTGCTATGAAGATTCTCAAGAAACGTCACATTGTGGACACAAGACAGCAGGAGCACATCCGCTCAGAGAAGCAGATCATGCAGGGGGCTCATTCCGATTTCATCGTGAGGTAAAGGCCCCATTCCAGGGACAGATGTAACCAACACCAAGCAACAAATCCACCACAAAACCCTCTGCCACTTGTGCTTGCTGTTAATACATTTCATATATACAAAGAAACTTATTTTTAGTCTAACCCTAAGAAAGCTGTTTGATTTTTAAAAATAAATTTCTGATTCTATTCTTCCTTTTAAAGAGAATCAGTATCTGAAAACAATGTGTTTTTCCCAAAAGAGGTGCCAGAATTTCTAACATTACATTTTTATCCTTTTCAAAACCCCCAAACTCTACATAGACCTCTGATGCTTAAAAGACAAAATATCCAAAATCAAACTATTTAACCTTTAATTATCTGAACATTTTTTGAAGATCTAAAAAAATGAAATGACAGCTGACCATTCCACCTCAGTACTAATAAATAGATAATGAGGAGATTTTTATATGCAGAAGCAGCTTTTTATAATGAATTTTCCAGTGACACTTACTGAGAACAGGATGTAATTTAACAGGATGAATTTAAGAGAGTAGCACATGAAATTTATATATGTCTGAATTTATAAAGTTTAGTCCACTTTATATCCATTTTCACTACATGTTGATGACAACTAAATGTTACCCCAAGAGTCCATGCTTGAAACATCACCCAAAGTGGAGTAGAAAGAATCTCAAGAAACCCTCTTTGTTCATAATCATTAGGATTAATCCATTTCAAGGGAGGGATTACCACCCTAGTTTCTCCTATTAAAATCCTTATTCATGAGCCATTGACTTCTTTTTCCTATATGGGCTTAGAACTCTCTCATTCTGACAAAATTTGAGCTTGGCTAATCAAAGCTATAATCTGGGACCCCCCCAAAATTGCATACTTGCAAAAGACAGTAATGTTTATAATCTTTGTTTTCTTCTTTGCAATTTACAGACTGTACAGAACATTCAAGGACAGCAAATATTTGTATATGTTGATGGAAGCTTGTCTAGGTGGAGAGCTCTGGACCATTCTCAGGGATAGGTAGGAGATTTAAGAAATTTCTATGATGTCTCTAAGAACCTAGTTGCCCATGTTGGTGTATAGAAGGGTTAATAAAATAAAGTATAATGATCATATTTATACTTTAATATCCTTATATTTCAATATTTAAAGTTAAGTACCAAGCATAACCCACCATATGCATATAATAAAACTCGCTTTGTAACTAACAAGGCAGGCTTAGTCTATCATAAAAGTGGTACATAGCAAAGTAAATATATGACCTTAGTTTAGCATGAATGTTAGAATTAAATAAGTCTATAGCTGGAATTCAATTCATTGCCTTAGCAGAAGGAGAATTATCGTTATTTTATAATTCCAATTTGAATTAACTATCTATTTAATGCTCTCTCTACTCTTTTTCCAGATAGGCAGTTTGCCTTTTTGTGACACTGGGAATTTTTTCCAAAGAATGTTTCCCTCTACCTTTACATTGTTCTTTGGTTTCAAAATTAACAGAAGTTTCCAGTCATGTTTTTATCCCTTGGCTGGTCTCAGGAAAAAGAAAAGAATCCACTTATAAGCAATATTTCATGTAAATAATCCGATTTAGACTTACCTCTTACCATTCCAGGGCAAGGAGAGTTTGTCAAGATGGTGCTTGTTTGTTTGTTTTAATCATGCAAATTCATTGTGTCTTAATATTCCATCTCATATTTAGATCACTAGCAAATTAAATAATTATCTTCTAATATAATTTATCCTATAAAATGTCTCAGGCCTGTAATCCCAGCACATTGGGAGGCCAATGTGGGTAGATCACCTGAGGTCAGGAGTTTGAGGCCACCCTGACCAACAAGGTGAAACCCGTCTCTACTAAAACTACACAAATTAGCAGGGCATGGTGGTGTGCACCCATAGTCCCAACTACTCGGAAGACTGAGACAGGAGAACTGCTTGAACCTAGGAGGCAGAGGTTGCAGTGAGCCAAGGTTGTACCACTGCACACTCCAGCCTGGGTGATGGAGCAAGACTCCGTCTCCAAAAAAAAAAGTCTCAGGAAATCATTATCTACCCTGTGCTTTTTAAAACCATACTTTTATTTTCCTATGAATAATATATTGATTATTTTCTATGAATGATTTATTGATCATTCAAAAGTCATCTGTGTTCCTCTGAACACTCACTTTTAGACATCTATATTTTTCTTATTTGTTTGAGTCCTGCCCCCCAGACTCTTCTTCATGGGGTAGCATCCTTCTGAAACTTAGCTATAGGTATTCCTGATATATATAATGATGTAATGTGTTTACATTTGTTACTTTGTAGATATCCCAGAAAAAAACAGTGGTTTTTTAAATAAATTGTTGATTAAAATTGTCATTCCTAATGGTGTTCTTATGGTACCTTCACTTTTTTTTTTTTTTTTTTTTTGAGATGGAGTCTTGTTCTGTTGCCAGGCTGGAGTGCAGTGGTGCAATCTCGGCTCACTGCCACCTCCGCCTCCTGGGTTCAAGCGATTCTTTCACCTCAGCCTTCCGAGTAGCTGGGACCACAGGCGCGTGCCACCATGCCCGGATAATTTTTTTGTATTTTTAGTAGAGACAGGGTTTCACTGTGTTGGCCAGGATGGTCTCGATTTCTTAACCTTGTGGTCCGCCCACCTCGGCCTCCCGAAGTGCTGGAATTACAGGCATGAGCCACTGCGCCCGGCCGGTACCTTCATATTTTTGTACAACATGCCCTTACACCTGTTAGTCCCATGGCCTTACTTATACATGTCAGATGGATTTCTTGTTATCACATTGTATCCTATTGAATCAGTATTTTATTTCATTTCTTAAATTTAAACTTAAAAAAGCATAAAAAATAATGTACTATGTTGGCATTAGGAGATAAGATAATATCTGTACTAAGCTATCACTAATATACACTAATATATATATACACTAATATATCATAGTGTATATATTATGTATTATTGCTAGTTAATATGTAAATACAGATTAAATACCAGGCATTGTGACAGAGGCTAGGTATCCAGTAATAAACCAAACAGATGTGGTCTGTCTCCTCAGAATATATAGTTTGTTGAACAAAGTTAATATTTTAATGTGTGAGTTAACATTTAGCTTATCTAATGTGTTTCTACTGTATTATATTTGACTTAATATTTCAATCCACTGATTTATTTGAAGTCTTCTATCTTTTTTCTAATTAGAATAGAAGAAGATTTACAGGTGGAATTAAACATGAAAGTAATAGTAAGCCACAAAGGGAGGTAACCAACTATCCTCTCATAGCTTACTTATTTTGTTTCACTTTTTCATAAGTTATTGAGGTACAGGTGGTATTTGGTTACATAAGTAAGTTCTTTAGTGGTGATTTGTGAGATTTTGGTTTACCTGTCACCCAAGCAGTATACACTCCACCATATTTGTAGTCTTCTGTCCCTTGGCCCCCTCCCACCCTTGCCCCCAAGTCCCCAAACTTCATTGCATCACACTTGTGCCTTTGTGCCTTCATAGCTTAGCTCTCATATCAGTGAGCACATATGATGCTTGGTTTTCCATTCCTGAGTTACTTCACTTAGAATAATAGTCTCCAATCTCATCTTGTTCCCTGCAAGTGCTGTTAACTCATTCCTTTTATGGCTGCGTAGTAGTCCATCATTTGCGCGTGCGTGTGTGTGTGCCACACGCACACACACACACACACACACACACAGTTTCTTTATCCTCTCGTTGACTGACGGGCATTTGGGTTGGTTCCATGATTTTGCAATTGTGAATAGTGAATTGTGCTGCTATGAATATGAGTGTTCATGTGACTTTTGTGAATAATGACTTCTTTCCTCTGGGTAGGTACCCATAGTGAGATTCCTGGATCAAATGGTAGTTCTACTTTTATTTATTTAAGGAATCTCTACACTGTTTTCTGTAGCAGCTGTAGTAGTTTACATTCCCTCCAGCAGTGTAGAAGTGCTCTCTGTTCACTGTATCCACCCCAGCATCTGCTGTTTTTATTTTTTATTTTTTGATTCTGCCCATTCTTGCAGGAATGAGATGGTATCACCTTGTGCTTTTGATTTGCATTTCTCATCATTTGTTAGTGATGTTGAGCATGTTTTCATACATTTCTTGGCCATTTGTATATCTTCTTTTGAGAATTGTCTATTTCATGTCCTTAGCCCACTGGGATTATTTGTTTTTTTCTTACTGATTTGTTTGAGTTTGTTGTAGATTTTGGATATTAGTCCTTTGTCAGATGTACAGATTGTGAAGACTTTCTCCCATTCTGTGGGTTGTCTGCTTACTCAGCTGACTGTTTCTTTTGTTGTACTACAACTTTTTGGTTTAGTTAGGTCCCAGTTATTTATCTTTGTTTTTATTGCATTTGCTTTTGGGTTCTTAGTCATGAAATCCTTGCCTAAGCCAATGTCTAGAAGGGTTTTTCCAATGCCATCTTCTAGAATTTTTATATTTTTAAGTCCTAGGGTTAAGTCCTTAATCCATCTTGAGTTGATATTTATCTAAGGTGAGAGATGGGGATCCAGTTTCATTCTCCTACATGTGGACAGCCAGTTATCCCGGCACCATTTGTTGAAAAGGGTGTCCTTTCCCCACTTTATGTTTTTGTCTGCTTTGTCAAGAATCAGATGGCTGTAAATATTTAGGTTCATTTCTGGATTCTTTATTTTGTTCCAGTGGTCTAGGTGCCTATTTTTGTACCAGCACTATGCTGTTTGGTGACTATGGCCTTATAGTATAGTTTGAAATCAGGTAGTATGATGCCTCCAGATTTGTTCTTTTTGCTTTATCTTGCTTTAGCTATGCAGGCTCTTTTTTGGTTCCATATGAATTTTATAATTGTTTTTTTCTGATTCTGTGAAGAATAATGGTTGTATTTTGATGGAGATTACATTGAATTGAATTTGTAGATTGCTTTTGGCAATGTGGTCATTTTTACAATATTGATTCTACCCATCCATGAGCATGGGATATTTGTGTTGCTTGTTTGTGTCATCTATGATTTCTTTCAGCAGCATTTTGTAATTTTCCTTGTAGAGGTCTTTCAACTCTTTGCTTAGTTGCAACAATATTCCTAAGTTGTTTTTGTTTTGTTTTGTTTTTGTTTTGCAGCTATTGTAAAAAAAGTGTTGAGATCTTGATTTGATTCTCCTCTAGGTCACTGTTAGTGTGTAGAAGAGCTACTGATTCATGTTCATTAATGTATCCAGAAACGTTGCTGAATTCTTTTATCAGTTCTATGAGCTTTCTGGAGGAATCCTTAGGGTTTTCAAGGTAAACTATCACTTTCTCAGCAAACAGTGACAGTTTGACTTCCTCTTTACCAATTTGGATGCCCTTTATTTCTTTCTCTTGTCTGATTGCACTGGCTAGGACTTCCAGTACTATGTTGAAGAGAAGTGGTGAGAGTGGACATCCTTGTCTTGTTCCAGTTCTCAGAGGGAAAGCTTTCAACTTTTTCCCATTCAGTATGTGGGCTGTGGGTTTGTCATAGGTGGCTTTTATTACATTGTTATGTTCCTTGTATGCCGATTTTGCTGAAAGTTTAATCATAAAGGGATGCTGGATTTTGTTGAACTCTTTTTCTGCCACTATTGAAATGATCATGTGATTTTTGTTTCTAATTCTGTTTATGTGGTGTAACAGATTTATTGACTTATATCTGTTAAACCATCTCTGAATCAATCCCTGGTATGAAACCCACTTGATCATGGTGGAGTATTTTTTTGATATGTTGTTGGATTCAGTTAGCAAGTATTTTGTTAAGTATTTCATCATCTTTGTTCATCGAGGATATTGGTCTGGAGTTTTCTTTTTTGTTTATGTCTTTTCTGTTTTTGGTATTAGGGTGACACTGGCTTCATAGAATGAATTATGGAGGGTTCCTTCTTTATCTTGTGGGACAGTGTCAAAAGGATTTGTACAAATTCTTCTTTGAATATCTGATAGAATTCTGCCATGAACCCGTCTGGTCCTGGACTTTTTTGTTGGTAATTTTTAAATTACCACTTC